TTCTTGAATATGCCCAAGGCAAAGGCAAAAAAGGAAACCAGTGGATGAACCAGCAGTAGAACTCAGCGAATTACCATTGATAAGGTCTCTACCACCCAGGCCACAAGAAAGAAAAAAATGTGAATTACCATCGGTAAGTTTTCCGCCCTCTGACTCAAGTAATCCCTTCTATCCAGAGGAAAAGGCTGAACCAGCAGTAGAACTCAGCGAATTACCATCGGTAAGGTCTCTGCCACCCAAGCCACAACTTAATAGCAAGCGTGCTTCCGACCCTGATTGGAAGAAATGGCGATTCATACGTTCAGCAACGGAGCTTAGCGAGGCAGGAATAAATTTTAAAAAAATCGAGGGGAGATTGTTTGATATCAAGTTTCAAAATGGGGTAATGTCAATTCCAACTTTAAGTGTCAACGACGATACAGAATCCATTCTTCGAAATTTAGTTGCTCACGAGCAATGCTTCAAGGGGCGCATCTTCAAAATGCTTCGCGGATGACATTAGATTCATGGATTGCCTCATCAACACAGGGAAGGATGTTGAATTACTTTGTCTCCACGGAGTCATTGACAACTGGTCAGGTGATCATGAAGTGGTCGCTGCCATATTTAACAAACTCTGTGACCATGTGTTGATCTCCGAAGAGGACTTCTCATATGCTGAGACCTTCAAGAAAGTGAATAACCAGTGGATGGCAAATTTATGGCACAATTACTTTAACACTCCATGGGCGAGCATTTCCTTCCTCGCTGCGGTTTTCTTGCTTCTACTTACTGTGCTTCAAAGTGTATTTTCAGTTCTTTTTTATCTATTTAAGTATGGAAAAGTCTTCTCTCTACATGGTGGAGGCAGAGGCATGTCGGGGTATCAAAAGTGAAACTTATGCTCAACGCACCACGTCATGGTTTTGTTCGTCATTCCAGAGTTTGCAATAAGTGAAGCTAGCTGCCCACACAAAATAGTCTCCCTGTTTAAATTGTGATGTCATGTCATCATGTTATGTATTCTACTAAAAATTTGCATGGGTTCTATTCCTTTGAAGTCCCTTTTTTTTTTCTTTTGTAAAATGTATCCCTTTGAAGTCAATTTGTAAGGATGTTTGCAGCAATATATATATCTGTTTATTCTGCCATAATAACATTTAATTCCTCCAGCCACCTCAACAGAAATAAACAAGAAAAACGAAATGAAATATGATATAAAATTCAAGGACAGAAATGGTCCGTTTGATTTTTGAAATGTAGTTTTCAAAATATATTTTTTATATATTTTTAAGTGTTTAGTAACCCTTAAAAAAATAAATCCGCTGAAATTATTTTCAATTAATTAACGAAAAACACAATACAAAATTTTTAAAAATTGACTTCAAAATATAAAAGAATCCTAAACTTTTCTTACAAAAACACGTGGATCCTTTCTGAGTCTACAAAAGAAACACATTCCAAAACATACTTTTGAATAAGAACGGCTAATTCATTCAAATTAAAACATACTTCAACAAATTTACACCAAAATCTGTGATTATAGTAGAGCATTAAACCCAATTAAAATGCTTGAAAGAGGAGTAGTTATGTCATGAGACATGAAGTAGTTTGTCTTGTTTTGTTTGTCGTC